TGCAGGCAGTCTTATAAGCTAGACTCTACCCTAACCTGGCCTGCTCGCCCTACTCTGCCCTACCCTACCCTACCCTACCCTACCCTACCCTACCCTACCCTACCCTACCCTACCCTACCCTACCCTACCCTACGCTACCCTACCCTACCCTGCTGCCCTGCCCTGCCTGCCTGCCTGCCTGCCTGCCTGCCTGCCTGCCTGCCTGCCTACCGACCTACCTACCTCCTACCTACCTCCTACCTACCTACCTACCTACCTACCTACCTACCTACCTACCTACCTCCCTCTCTCCCTTGTTCCCTCGCGTCACAAAGACTTGCGCATGCACTTCCGGGTCTTTCGAGACCCGTTAACCGTCTCAGAATTCTTGAATGGCGAGATCTCCATGGATGCACATGCCCGGCCAAAGGCGCGTATCCCGAGCAGTTGCGGCTTGTCCTTCGTGGAGCGAAGCATCGCGACATGACAAGTTCTCTCGGTTGCACTGGCAACATTTAAGCCTGTTGCTCATCGTGTGCCTTATCCCTTGCAGGCTTGCAGGCTGTTTTTTTTTATGTAGCGTTCGTTGTTGGGACTTGCAGTGACAGTGGCCCTGAAAGACCCCCTCGAAGATACACCGGAAGGTTTTTGAACTCTTACTAACAAGTTGACGCTGCAACCTCTATAGACTCTATTGCTGACTCCAGTACTGCTACCACTGCTACTGCCACTGCCACCTCCCCTTTGCCACCTTGTGCAATCACGAGAGTAGTACTTGCACGATGTGCAGGCCACCCACAGCGTCCTTATTGCCTTGTGTAATCATCGTGTGTTGAACTCCGAACTGTCACAGCTCTATCACAACACCCTTCCCATCAGACAGCGGTGACACGAAACCGATGGCCCAGAACGTGGGGTTTCCGACTTCTCCCTACATGACGACGAGCCCCTGACGGATTGGCACCTCGATGGCTCGGAGCAAGTTGTGGTGGAGGCATGGCTTGACGGTCCTTAACCTTGAACATCCGTAATTGGTCCCTCGAAGAGTCTCATGGATGATTCGGGTGTGCAGAGCATGTCTGTGCTGTGATCCAGACGATAAGCTGACTTGAGAACCTACAAACGTCGTGCATATCCCGCCTCAGCATTATGGTGTCGGTTGTCTTCCTACAGACCTTACGCCTTCAGCGGGGAGAGCTCCTCTGACACCTGTTAGGTGAAGAAGAAGCAGCGAGCTGGAAAGAAAGTGCCCGGCAACGGCTGGTTCAACAAGAGAGGAGGCTCCCGGACGGGCTAGGAATCAGAATTGAAAGTTTCTTTGCAGCTGGTCGTGTTCTCCTAGTTTCAGCTCCTGGCGTGGAGTACAGAGCCTTTGCTCGTATCTTCATCCTCTGACGACGCGAACAGGCCGAACGTGCACGATGAACATTGCTGGCGCCGTTGTGAAGCAGATGGTCTTCTCAAAAGCGGACCAGTACTGTGTGAAGGTGCCCGTCACGTCAGAGTTTCAGAAAACAGCAGACCCGAGCGCTTCCAAATTGTGAGGATCCTGAGCATAAGGAGCCCTAAATATAAGGAGCCCTAAATGATGTGCTGCAGCCCTGCTTTACGAAACTTCCATGTAAGTCTCATCACACTTCCATAATAATTGCCATCGATCTGCCACCTCTTCGCAGCAGTCCCGTTTGCTTAACTTGACGCGGTTCAGGGCCTACGATTCTTGCGAAACAAGACTTTTAACCCCAAACCACGAAACCTTCAAGCGCAGGTGGAAGAGCAAAGGCGACTTGGACTGTCAAAGCACGCGGACAATGCGAGTACAATTTCTTCTGGTTCTGCTAAGATGCAGTCTAGTAATGTGAGTTGCGTATATCCTAGCAGAATGATACCGGAGACTGAAGCTGGCTCGGCTATGGATACTTATTAATTGGTACTTGCATAGTCGTCTGCTTATTATACAGTCTGCCACCATGATGGTGATTCAAAAGTCCGAGCTGGCAGAATCCCGAACCGTATGCCCAGCACTATCCGTGACTGTAGCCCAAGATGAGAGGCTTAGACCAAGACATCCTTGTGACAGGCAGTGCTGACAGTTTACAGGGCCTATTGCAGGGTTCTGGTTCCAGGGGCTTAAACCCCACCTCTGCAGCGGGCCATCGCAGATTTCACGAGGGAGTTTTTCTTGGCCGCTTTGCAGCGAAAATCCACACTGCATGCTCCCTTCCAGACCTGCCTCAGACTACTTGCAGTTCGAACAGAGGCAGATACTAGTATTCACAAATATCGTGACCATACTGTCAACTATATTTGTGCCTAGTATTGGTTTCCATAGAATATCTTCTGCTACTGCATCACAGCTTGTCATGATCTAGCTCACCTACTTGCCAGTCGTGGAAGTCTTTCTTGTAGGCCGCCTTCTCCACTCAGGATCTTCGAAACGATCATGAAGCTGTGTGAGCACTTCCAAGCAGATTCTGGGCCTCAATACATAATCTAGAATATAGAAGTCTGTACGATTAGAAATAGCATCCCCGAATGGTCCCTTGATCAACATAGTTTGGCAAATCCCCAAGCCCTATTCTGACTGATTATGAATGCCCCTGTGGTGCCAGTACCGCTTGGGAAGCCACTGCAGCTGAGACTATGGTGGTGGTACAGCACAGTAGCAGTGGAATTGCAGCATGTTGAAGTAAACCGTATTACATGATATGATATGATATGATATNNATCATATCATATCATATCATATCAGGAGTCCGCCTTGCCCATGCATGGAGTCTAGAGTCTACTTCAGGCAAAGGCTCCTTGACTGCTCCTTTTGTGCTAGCGCCGCATAGGACCTTTGCATTATTGCGCCTTTGTTGCGATCGTCTCCCAGGATGCTACCGTCCTGGCGGCCGCTGACGCAGAGGAGCTGCCGGACTCTGCGAAAGCCCAGGGCTTCGCTGTGGAGGCCGCCAAGCTGTCTTCAACGTTTTGCTTAGGATTTATATTATACTCTACTATGTGTAGTAGAATAGACTATACTATGCTGTAGAATAGTAAGGAAACCGTAGCGCCGCATCTAAACCCTAAACCCGCATGGGGGCAGAGGCCTACAAGTCTTGCCATTGTTCTCATGACTCTGGCTTCTAGTATTCGTATTATTGGTACGAGTATGAATCTTTGCATTCTGACTTGGTTATACCTATTCCTAGTATGGCTGTAGTACTTTTTGGTGTTGCAGTTTATCGCGCGGCCTCACCAGGGATTGACGCAGTGCCGACCGAGCGAGCCAGACTCACCCAATATGGAGCAAAGGTCAGGCTTCGATTTCGTCGGTAAATGTGTGATGAAGACGCATCTTGAATTGACAGGGACGAGCAAACCTCCAGCAGTGGCTGTAAGGCTGCAAGCTCGCACGGAAAACTTCCACGTCCGCGTCGGATCGGCTTCCACTGCCTTTGTCGAGTGCGGTATGTGTTTATGCTGGGCTTGCTCCAGGGCAGACTGATACATGAGCTACCCTACCCTCTTCCCTGAAACCCTAAAAACAACCCTAAGCCCCAAACCATAAAGGTGAACTTTAAACGCCTCTGGAAGGCTGATGCCGACCTCGGCGTTCCTCGTCCGAGTCTATTCTTGGGATCTTCGGTTGTCCAGCGGTAATTCCTGGGCCTAGACCTAGCCTCGTAGTAGTGGAGGTGATGGTCATTGTACGCATCGTAAGCAGGCACCTGATGCTCATTTCATTGTCATGACATGTTGTGACGACGGTGCCGCTTGTGCAGCTGTTGCCGCTTCTTGGGTTGTTGCTGCTTGATACGGACGACAAGGGCTACTGTACGGTACCTGTAAGAAGGACCGTCGCTCATGGGTTTCAAAACTGCGAGACTGGAAATCTGACGAAACACCCAAGGTAACCAAGCTCGTCTCTGCGCAGCGCCGGCTGACGCTGCTTTCAGAACGTGACGACCCGGACTTTAGCACGGACATGCTCCAGGCAAAGGACCCGAGGTCCAGACTTGAGTCCCTGTTATGTAAGCTTGACTGACTCGCAGGTGCCCTTTGCAGTGGAATGCCTTGAGGGTCACACTGTTGTGCACTACGGCCCGAATGCGTTCGTTTGCCCCTTCCGCATCGTGGTTTGTTTTGAGCGTTGGGGTTTGGTTATCCCAACTGCAGGCCGAGCAGGACCCAGAGCAGGACCAGCTGCCGCAGCTGCCAGCAGTTGTGCACGTGCCGACGGAGGCTTTGAGAAGGTGTTGCAACAGGAACAAGAAGAGCACGGCAGATGATCACCAAAGCAGCAAGGATACGAGTCACAGAAAGTAAAGTGAGCCCCAAGGTGAGTAGAAAGACCATACAAACACTCGTGTCTTCACCTGGTAGGGATTGTGGAAAGCTGGCTAGAGTCGTTGGAGACTCATACAGTCATTGTCATAGTCATAGCGGCATCAATCACTAGAGTGCAGGATGTCGACCACAAGACGATTGCGCATGGCTTGCCAGCTTGATCGCTTCAGGCCGTGGGAAACAAACTGATCTTTGTCCTCGGTGGCGACGTTCTGCGAGAGACTGGCTCCCTCACGAAGGCTGGTTTGCATGAAGCAGTGATGTCGTCTACCTGGATGCGTGCCAAATGCTAGGTTCCATGTCGATGTCAAAGGTGACGACCTTTTATCTGCAAGCATCACACTGTAAACTGTGATCTTCATCTAGACAGATGTCGGGACACTGGCAAAGAGGAGTTCCTGAAGCACGCAGCTCTAGATTTTTGCGGTAATCCAGGCGCGAGGTATGCGGTAGCCAACACACTGACTTGGAAGTCGAGATGTCACGATGTACTGCATGTTGGGCACGGTTGAAGTCCCGATCAAGGACGCAGCAGGGCGTGCCACCAGCCGAAGTAGCTTGCCCATCCGATAGTCAAGTTCCGAGTTTCTCAGAACCACGAGCACAAAGCATGGGTGCCAGCTGCTGTTGCGGCCGGGAGAAGCTGGACCAAGGAGACAGGTTGGACGTTTATGAAAAACACATGTAGACAGACGCAGTCGGAGCTTTAATCCTGGACCAGCGTGCAGAAACAGCGAAAAAGCGTATCGTAGTCACGCAAAGCGGACGTATCCCTCTAGTTCTGCAACAGATTTCCCGGCAGGCTTGGCAGGTGCTTCGCGGAGGCCAGGGAGACAGAGAGAGAGGAGGCCCCTGCAGAGGCTCACCAGAAGCAGGAGGAGGCAGAGGAGGTAAAGAGCCTGCAGTTGGTCGTTCGGCGCACCTTCCTGAGCTTCGAGGTGGTGGACGAGTCCGAGCCCACGTCCAAACGACGGTCGCTCAGTGAGCCGCCACTTCGACGGGCCCTTCTCGACGAGCCGGAGGAAGATTGCGCCTGCAAGATCTGGCATCCGGCAGATAATCCATTCGAGCCACCACCCTACGTCTGGGCGCCAAGCATCCCGAGCAAGCCGGAGTCTTCGGTTCTCCAGCTGCAGAGAGCGGTCCATTTCCTCGACGGACCGGTTCAATGGGAGCTCTACACACCAGGTGCACCAGGCTCACGCTAAGCTCAAAGCCCCAGGTCCTACATAACCCTGAATGCCTCCGATCCCGGAAGCTATGCATGGTAGTTTAGAGCAAGAATAGAGACAGAATACTGATCACGCAGCTGCACCTGTATCCAATGGCAGGCCCTGGCAAAGCGTTCGGAGAGGTCTCGTGGATTCACTTCGCCTGATGAGGGCGGGGAACATGACCCCGAGTGTGAGAAAGCTGGAGGCGTGCTGATACGTGATTCCGAGGGTGGACAGGCCTGGCAACCCCACAGCGCCCATGACCCTGCCAATCGCGACATTGTTCCGTTGTGGAAGTCTGGTTGGGTTTGCTGATGCTCGCCGCTTTTGTCATCCGTGGCAAGGTGTGCAGGATTATGCTTGAGCGTGTATGTGGCATCTGCTAGGGCCGGAGACAATTCGTGTTTCCACACCAGGGTGTGCACCTTCACGTCGATCGGAGGTGCCGCAATACTGCCAGACTTCTCCATGATCATGAGCCTTGTGATAAAGGTGCAGCTGGCAACAATGTTTGAGAGACGTCCCTGTGTTCTTGCCGCATTAAGTTGGTCGATGGATGACATTCCGCAAGCATCGCTAGCAGTCGGGACTGACATGCCATGCGGCTGACAAGTCAAGGGCGATGAACGCGAGAGCCTGTTGCATTTCGCATAACAGTTAGATGCTGTGCCGGCAATATCTGATGACAGCATGGGTCCCCTTCTGAAGGACTGACTTCATTGTCAGGCTAGAAATGCGAGAATTTCAGGCGATGTCTGGCAGGCGGAGCTCACCAAAGTCATGCGCGATATACGGGGACCGTCCCAACTCGCACGCTCCACAAGGGTTCGATGCTAGACAGGGCAAGACCTGCTGTGCGTGGACAGGGCGAGAAAGAGGCGAGATCCATAGCACAAATGAGTGAAGATGATCATAGGTGCTCATTGGGAAGGAAGGCTGCGAGTTTTCTAGTATAAGCATGAAGAAACCGCGTAAGCTGCAGGACCACCCATTTAACCCCAGCCACATCAAACCCCAACTTGCCACAGGTGATTCGGAGCCTGCATCGTCCGTCCGACGAGCCCCTGACGGTGTTCCACCTGATCACATCCCACAGGACGGGCAGAGACCCCAGGAGCGTTTCCTTCAGCCCGAATTCTGGTCTTGGATCTTGAACGGGCCACAGAAATTGTCATGAGGGTTTCGTGACTTCGAAGTACAGGCATTGAATTGAAGCCATGCTGTAGTGGTCCAACGTCATCAGAGTTGCAGTTCGGGTGTGTCCAGTCCACTTCCCAGCGATTCAAGTCATGCGAGCTCCACAAAGTACCAGTGCATGAAGCTTAGCCGCGCTGCCGGACCCCCCCTGTTCCCATTCAATTCTGCCTATACTTCGGCCTGATGATCTTGAAACGATGCCAAAGCTAGTGACCGCTAGTGGTGGCCGTGCAAAAAAATCAGCCTTCTGCAACATAAAAATCAAGGAGGGAAATCGGAGTAGTTGCAGTTGCGATTGACCATGACTCCTTCATAGACTCAATCGACGAGCTTACCGATGCCTGCGTTTGGACAATTGGGGCAACCGCAGGCACAAGCTCCGGTTGCCCTGCCTTGGCTTCGTGGTGCGCATGAGGGCACCCCGGCTAGTTTCTAGTAAGAGTTGCTTAGGTCGCACGACTGACTGCTTTTGGGAGCGTCTGGCGGTACCTTCATGCCTGGGTATCCTCTCTCCTGCGGCGCATTGGAACTGCTCGTGCAAAGATTGCGAGGGGCTTGCAGCACAAGGCTGTGACCACCATGTTCATGCAGATGACTGCAATTGGCTTATGGGTTGAAGGATTGAGGAAGGAGAACGTCATCAGCTTAGGGCAGAGGCCATGCTAGGATGAGGCACTTTTTTGTTAAGAGGGGTCGTTGCACCCCAACCGAAACTCAAGACATATGGAGCATCCCGGCACTTGACCATCGTCAATCCTGCAACTCCAAGCTGAAGGTGTAGAAAAGGTTACCTGAACTCAACATCATCGGCCCAGCTCTGCCTAGGACCGTTTCGGCTGCGACATTCCACAGCTCCCAAATGCACTCCTGGAGCGGTGGCTTGCGGGGTGGTTTGGTAGCGATGCACCACCACAGAGGTTTGCATGCTTCCTTTGCCACAATCGAACTTCAGGTCGGGCTGCACCCAACCCAAAATGCAGCGCTTCGGGAACTTTGCAGCCTTCAGATGAATAAGTCGATCGACAGGTAGGTAGATATGTACATATTGCAAGAGTCGGATTCGCTCCCGCACTCCGGGCCTGCCTGGCGCTTTCACGTTCTTAGCGGTCTGGGCGGCAGCCAAGCTCGCTGTGTCACAGTGCAGTCGGCAGTACTAGCAAGTACAGAGCAACAATTTATAGACGACCACATGTAGGCCACAGTAAGTATGAGAATGTGCTACAATAGCAAAACATTGTCTCACTGCCGCTTACATATGGCTGATACAGTGTTCGACTAAATTACGGCGGTATGTATCTACACAGCCATGCTCGAGCATATGCACCCACACACGGGCACACGCACACACATAAATCTCTCTCTGTCTCTCTCTCTCTCTCTATATATATATATATATTTTGATACACAGGTATAACAACATATAGAAGCTGTAGATATGTATATACATATATAGATTCTATAGTGATATAGATGTATAGATCTATAGGTATAGGTATTTACATAGAGATAGAGATAGGTATGCATATACGTGCGCAGACACACACACACACAACAGGCACTGCATACATGCATTCGTGCATGCATGCATGCATACATACATGTAGGATATAGTGTATAGCACCGGAGTGCCTGGAGTGGCGTAGGATCGTACGCACGAACACGTCAGTGTGAATGCAGTAAATGCGACGTGAGGACCGCATCCTTTCGCTTCACGATGCAGAAGCGGCAGCCGACCAATGCTAAGGCCTGCCTGAAAGGATTGTGCAACATTTTAGCTTGGTCTGTCTCATCGGTGGTCACAGACTGCCGTTGTCAGACACTCAGATCTGCTGGACTCTATGCCGCGAAATTGATGGATTTCGTTCTGAGCACTGGACAGGTCGAGGTGCACCAGCCCAGACAACTCTGAACACTGGGTGCAGATTTATTTTGCCAGCGCGGCTTGCAACTCTGCCCCTGACAGCTGACCCACGTGTTGCTGGCATATGTCACTTTTCGGCCTGGGCCTCGCGACAGTACCAAGGCCATATACATCGGCAATCAGCCTCCAATACCTGGGACTCCACAGCGGTTGATCGTGTCCTGGGGCTTGTGACAACAAGGGCTCAGCAGTCATCCTGTCATTGGCTCTAGGAGAGTGGAGTACCTGCCCAGGTTCGGCTTACAAGTTTAAGTATGGTGATAGGAAGCAGTACCGCCCGTTAGAATAATGCCACTCCTCCTTTGCTGCCCCCACTAGTTGCTATGACGGCGAGTATCACCGACACGGCGATTGTGGCTTGCAGAGTTCCAGAGTTGTTTACAGTTAGTGTGGAAGGTTTTGCTCAGTACATGTACAAGGCTACAAGGAACAACAAAAGAGTTCGGTTAAGGCTTTAAAATTCTGCAGTGGTTCTGCAGGCATACGGGTTTCCGGAGCTGATTTGCAATCCGCGCTCAACTTTCTACTTAGTGGATCTGGGCATGTGTGCTAGTCACACAACTTGTACAGTGTACAGCTGGCTCAGACTCACAGCAGGCAAGAAGGCTTTGCGGACAGGGCCCCTCGAACAACCTGCCGATTATCTGGAGAAGAGGCGGTGCTAGGAGAAGCACCGGGGCTTGGGGGCAAGGTCAGCCGGCGGCTTGATGTGCTTCGTAGGGCGGTTGTGTGCATCTTGTCTCAGGGCAGGGGCATGAGGGTTCGGCAAGCAACCATCGTAACCTCGACGTTCGCACTGCCGTACGCCGTAGGTCTCAGATACAGTCATGGAAACAGACGCCAGCTCAGTGTTTTGCCGTGGCAGGACATCGTCGACAGTCTCCTGGATGCCTTCGAAAGTGCAGTAGACTTGACCGAGATGTCCGCCCTCCCAGTTTACACGTGATCTCAGCACGGGGCTCTTGTCTTACTGGCATCATGGAATGTTGCTGCAGCACCATGCCTGTGACCACAAAAACCGCAAACTCGGTGAGCTAATTCGTCCAGACTGTATTTCAATCGGTGCCACCGGCACGATGCTGGCGAAATCTGACTCGGATGTGTTCTTTGGACATGGCTCCTATGGCCTCATGGCAGGTACTTGAAACCGATGATGAGTGGTTCGGGACCTAGTCCGGGGAGTGCCAAGGGTCTAAGTTGGAAACCTCCCCCCACTTGTTGCGGAGGCTACGACGGTGAAGCAAACGTTGCTACCAGCGCACCGTCCTCAAGAAGCCGACGAGAGAGATGCTGGTGCGTACTTTCCGGGAACATGCGGAGAGGGCTCTGCGGCTTCTGTGGCGATCTCTTGATGGTGTTCCATCATCGAAGGAAAATTGCAATGACCATGATGGTCGTTGAGTGATTAGGAGACTTAGACTTAGATACGATCGTTTCAGCAAGCCGGGCACCCCAGTATTGGGACCCTACTAACCCCCAACTCAGAATCCGTTGCTTGTCTTACACTTCCGGGCTGGCCTTGTTGTCGATGATACAGCCGAGCATCCGGAGGATGCGATTGAGGGCCGGATGAGTAGTAGAAGCTGGGTCGGAATACTTAGTAGCGATGTCCCCTTATGGCCCGCAGAAACTTGTAGACTTCTAGTATAATGTGAGCCAAAACCCGTTCTAATCATTACCGCCGCTACATTGCTATCTTCCCAAGGGCAGTATCACTGCGACAATGATTACACAGTTCCTGTTGCAGCCCCGACAAGGCCAAAGAGCGCATCGTGGATCTCCAACGGCGGCAGGCTGATCTGCAGGCGGTTGTGGGCCGAGCGTCAGGGGAATGGATTGTTTAGATGGGTCTGTGAGTAGCCACTATCTCTTGGTTGGTGGGTAGCATGATTTTGTAGGGTGGTAGGCTTTAGTGAGAAGCACCCTCACGGTATAGCCAACACAACTATGGTGTAGAACATTGAACAGAGTACCGGGTTCCGTGGGGTTTTGTGATGAGATCAACAGTGACAAGGCGCACATGTATCGCACTGGATCGTGCACTTGGGTAGTTCTCTAAAATAGGGTCTTTTTTAGGGTCCTTTTTATAAGGGTGCCGTACTTTATTGGGGACCCAAAAAAGGGACCCTAATTTAGAGAACTACACACTTGTCTTTCCAGTTGCAAGTGAAGTGGAGAGGCCCAGTTGGTCATCATGGGTCCGTGCCAGGCCGACAGGGCTTTACAAGGGAGGGAGGGTTGGGGTCTTGCAGGGTTTTGGGGGTTCCGTGGAGTTCAGCTTCTTTAGGGCTGCGTGGCTTGGGATTTCCGGATGCTTCGTGACGAAGGTCTGCGGGTTTCATGTTTTTGTGCGCATAAAATCTAATCGTGGGCAATTGAGGTTTGACAGGTTCCAAGGGGGTTTGGGATTCGGGGCAGACAGAGGAACCTTGAGGACCTTGACGGCCTTTAGAGAGGCTACCGACGCGGAGCAGATCCGTTTGGTAATCCAAGGAGCTGGACGAGAGCCGGCACACCTTCGCAGAGTAAAACCGTTATGGCTCACATGATGTGGCACACCAAACTTCCGTCATGCCGAGACATATTTTTCATAGTGACAGCTATCGCCGCGAAGTTCCAACATGCCATTCCAACATGCCGTGCCAGTTTCAGCTGTACCAACCAAGCTATCTGAGCTCCAAAGGCAGGCAAAACCTCTTTAACAGCCGCGGCCTCAGTTGTCCGCATCAGCCATCACGAGACACGTGTTCTGCAATTTAGCATAGAATCAAAATCATCGCGCGAGTCTGCACCACTGACGCAGCGATCTGTCGACTGCAAAGCCTCCTGCGACCTACCCCTAGCAGGATTTTTGTCAGATAGAGGCATTGAGTGTGATGTGAAAGCTACAGCTTTGTAGATGCTAGCTCGTAACGACTAGCATAATCACCCGGCAGCCAAACCTAAACTTACCACTTGAGCAGGCAACATCTCCGCAACATCGCCACAAGTGCTCATCATACCATCATCGAGGTACAGCGCTCAACAGGCACGCTTCCGATATCTGTTGCCTGTAATCATTGTAATCCTGACTCAACACACAAGCAAACTACTTCCGAATGCTCTGCACGAAACCCAGCCGGAAAAGACTCCAGATGCCCTGAACATCCCTGAGCCCAGAAAGCCAACCCCAAAAGTCGAAACCCCCCAAAGCCATCAACCCTGGTAGCATCTGGTAGCCCTACCCTGCCGGACTTGACAAAAAGCCTCCTGGGCCGAGTACGCGTTGGTGGGATTCGCAGCGCTTCCCCCGGCCCTGCCTTCCATGGTCACTACGCGCTGGGCGTGGGCCAAAGAGAGTTATTGAGACATGGGAGCTGAGGAAGTTGAGAGTCTTAGGAGTTCAGGTCTCTCATGTCATTCATTGTTGCAGCTGATGCATGTATTGTATATATATATATATATAGAAAGATATACCATATAGATATAAGTATATGTACATACATGTGCATGTGCATGGGTTATCTGTAGATCAAAGTTGGAATGTTTGAGCTGTGTGTCGGTGCACTGTGTATCTCCATTGCATGTTCGTGTCGCCTCCAGCAAAACATCGTCAGTTTCCCCTTCATCTATTTACATTTTCCACCATGCTCATACATAGAAATGTTTGCATGGACATATACGCACATGTACAACTACATGATGTATATATATATATATGCATATATAAAAAATATATATATGCATATATAAATACATATGTACACACATTTATGTATGCATGTATGTATGCATGTATGTACGTATGTATGTATGCATGCATGCATGCATGTATGTATGTATGTATGTATGTATGTATGTACGTATGTCTGTATATATATATATATACACATACGCGTGGAAGGATGTATGGTTCATGCTCACCTGCAAAAAACTGTATCTGCGTATGTATATATATATATATATTGACCGAACTATGTAATATGCATTATCACATTATATGTATGTATATATATATATACACTTGTGTATGTCCCTCTTGCGCTTTCTCTACCTTTTTCCTTGTCTCTCTCTCTCTCTCTCGCACTCTCGCGTCTCTCGCGTCTCTCTCGCTCTGTCTCTCTCTCTCTCTTGCTCCTCTCTGTGCGAAACGAGGTAAGTTGCCCTGCACAATTGTGCGTTTTGGTAGCTGCGGGCCGGTGTGTGTCCGGGCGCATGGTTGGTGGCACGGGAGTGGCTGTTTGTAAAATGGCGAGGCGAACTCTGGGCTCAGAAGCTCGCTTGGCTCAAGCTATTGCCACCCTTGAAGCTCTTTGCTTGTCTGCAGCTCGACGCCCGGAGCTTGGTCCGGGCTTTTTGGGGGTTTTCTGTCTGTTTCGAGAGGACTAGGACTAGGACATGGTGTTGTAGGGTGCGAGAAAACTCGTACATGTACGAACTTACACGAGCACTTTAGAACTGTTCACAGCCGTGGTGCTTTAGCATGCTTTCGATGATGTGCCCCAACTCCATATTTATGCTTGGCCCAGGGTCTCCGGTGTTTTTAAGTGCCCGAGATCCCACAACATCTTGCGCAACAATGCTGCCTGCAAAGCCTGCCTTTTTTTTGTCAGCGAAGTCGCTTTACAATATCTACGAAAACCCGAAAAACTTCCAGAGCCTTTGACCAGGACATGGCCGCCCAGACTCCCGAGAAGCCTTCTGCCCCGGCCACTCCGGCCCCTGCTGCTCCGGCCCCGGCCGCACCTGCCGCGCCCGCGCCGGCAGCAGAGGCATCTCATGGGGATGGGTAAGTCTTTCACCACCTTCAGGGCCCTAGTTTTGACGTACAACATGCACATACGTATGTGTGATCTACTGTAGATGCCCATATATGTAGTTGACTAAGAGCACTGGTGTAAGATCAGGCTGCCCGGACCTCGAGGTTCCTCTGTGGACGAAGTCTCACAGCTTCGGGTGGCCATTCGTCCAAGCCTCGATTTGCTAACATAGGGAGCGTCTTCCTAACTTTCCACCTACGATATGTATTGTGCTCAGGCAAGGGTTAAGTACCGCTGGCGGAAAAACTGCGGAGCAGAGCGACGCTCGTGACTTGTATCCGGTAACTCAGATGGAGAGGATCGTCACTCACAGAAGTCCATAACATCGAACTGATGCGAACCTATCATCGAGCTTCTCAAATGCCACAAATGACGTTGCATCTGTCGCAGCATGTGCGTGGTTGGTTTCAAGAGCAGACTTTCTTCGGGCTCCGGTGTCGCTCTGGAATCTTAGTCTTGACAAAATCCCCGTGAGTCATACATCTCTAAAGCTCGTCGTTCCAGAGGCCTCGGGTCTCCAGCTGTTGCATCTGATGATATCTGATGTAAGCACCGTCGTTTGCGTTCAGCTTCAGCGCATGTTGCAGAACCCCAAGCCCAAGATATCATCCGACATGAACAAGTCCAGCTCCATTGAGATGTCCCTGTGAGAGGCACCTTCTACCTCCGCCAAGTCACAACTGAAGGCGCAGGGCAAGAAATGCCAACACCAAAGTCAAGCTCACAATGACAACAACTAGTGACCTAGTGGTTCTAAATTTAACTGTCGAGACTTGCGTCTTGTTTCATTTGGTGTTCTTATAAGAGAAGCATGTCTGTTGGACAGCGGCTCAGGGTTTTGGGATCTGGGGGATCAGGGTGTTCTTTCTGACAATTTCGGGTTGACTGGCTCTGGTCCGCCATCTGGCTTTTATTTTTCTACCCTTTTTATGCTTCTTATTTGTGGCAGTTACTAATAAGAATTTTCGAGTGCTGTTTTTTCCATAGAGTCCGTTGATTGCTCGTGCCCCTGCAGAGGAAAGATCACACGCTGATGGTCAACAGTCAATAAAACCCAAACAATGTCTCGAAATAGCGAGCAGCACAATCATTTCAGCCGTGGATATATTTTTTCCGCGCGGCTTAGGTGCGAGCATCCCGCTTGGCACAGAACATGCATGACAAGCCTCAGTTCTCGGTTTGTACAACGAACAAGATTGCCATGTGTTCTGGTGACTGTATTGCATGTAGAAGCCTACAAAGCCTTACAGAAAAGTCTTAAGAAGGAACCTGCAGCAAACACCATGTAGATCCATATACACACAACGCTTATGATCGCTAGGCCCAGATATTTTCAATCTCGGCCTACGGACCCTGGCAGAGGCCGTGAAGTCCGAGCGATCGGATCTCAACGTCGCAACAAAGCCCAAGGCCATCCTTTTGACTCGCAAGGCGAACTCAAGAAAGAAGTGCAGAGATATGGGCTTCGTGGACATAGACACATGATCGACAAGTGCTTGCATGTACATTTATGCGCATGCATTTGTCAGCACATCTCTGTGCAAATTAAATCACCAGGTCACAGGAAGAAAAGACAAAGCCTGCTACTACTGCTGTTTGCTGCTACTGGTAGTCGTCATCGTCGTCGTGGTGATGGGAATGGTGGTCGTTAGTAGTGGGTGAAGCCTCCCCTCGCTCGGTAGCCATGAACTTGCCAGCTGATGTCTGCTGCTTACATGATGTGCGCACGTTGAAGGCTTACTGTGCACCCGTGCTTCCGTCGGTTTAACCTAACCTAGCCTACTAGCACGCATGGAGTCGCCTTCCCAGCCTTCAGAAAAACCAGGCTGCCATCCATGTCATTCCAATATAATTCATAGAAGTGCTGTAAGCCACCATGCTCCTCTCCATGGTGAACCACCCGGCCACGAGGAGGATGGGCCTTCTCCCACTCGACTCGACGCTCTGCGCGATGAGGGGGCAAAGGCCGAACATCTACACGTATGTATATGATTCATACACATATACGCACATGCACATTCTATTCGTGTATGCATGTATGTATTTAGTTATGCATATGTCATACGTATGGATTTCCGTCCGCATGCTTGTATGCATGGATGCGTGTATTTATGTGTGCATGTGCTCGTGTTTGCATGTGTATATGTACATATGTACATGCACACGCTTGTTGGCCTTGCAAATCCCTCTGTCTCTCTCCCCACCTCTCCGAATATATATATATATATATGTATATATATATATATATGTGTATATTGTGTATATATATATATATACATATGTACAAATACATAAATACTACAAATATATACATACATATTGCAGTATCGCATCTGCCTTAATATATTATAGTATACTGCAGTTGTTCTGTATCATATCAAATTGTAGTATATTTATCATGCTCTACTATGAACATTATTCTGCATCATATCAGATGACGTTATATTTTGCTGTTGATCAAGTTATTGTGTATTGCATTATTTCACAGTGTCGTATACTATCGTCTTCTAAAGTGTCCTACCGTATATTGTTGTACATTGACATCAAATTCTTGTCGATTCGATTCTTTAATGTAGTATAACACAAGATAGTAGAACAGAACATGGTATAGTATATGTACTGTTATTACTACTGTTATTCACTCATACTAAGTTACATGATACGGCAATGTGCTATATTTCAGCATATCGTACTTCTCCGGACATGCTTTACTATATCTTACTCTAGTATATTGTACTATATGGTTTATGATAAACTACTTTATTCTACTGTATTAACTACTATATTCTACTGTATTACATAATACCGTACTTTTACTTCCTTATCTTAGTTTAGACTACTTGTTTATTTGAATGTATCTTGTATTGTACTTTGTCATGTCATTTTTACATCGCATATTTTATTACATCTGGTTATTATTGCAGATAGTATTACTATATTATGTTGTGTACTTTCGCTATCATTATTACTGTTATCACCATATGTATATATATATATATAAAAATATGTTTATATGCTTATGACTCCCTCATACAGAGCCGGTCCTCGTGCAATGAAGGTCGTCGTTGTTTTGGAGCGTATTGCCTGTTGTTATCATGAAGCAGCGGCGGCTTGTGGCCGTGAGCTGAATCTAGCGGCGCTTGTGGGCTTTTGCACCATCGCAGGCTTTGACACCATTGACTGGTGTAGTGGTACTGTGCAGCTTGACATGAGAAGACTTTGCGTGGACTTTCGGCACATGCGAAGTTTCGATAGAAGTGCATACGTCATGATCTGGATTCCTTCTTGCGGAGCAGATTCTGGAAATAAGGCGGAGAGGATACTTGTGCATGCCAGGTCATCGCAGACGTTCGTGCCAAGGCGGTGGAGGTACCTCCGTGTCAACTGGGGGGCGACCTTGAATCTCACGAACCCAAAACAAGTTTGATAACACCGTGGCATCAATCAGGTCAGGACGATTTGTGTTGCCCTTTTTCGGACGACTCGGAGCATTTCCTGTCGGAGACACGAAGGCTTTACCTTCCCAGCCCGCTTCAGCTCTTGGCAGCTGGAGTTCTGGTTACGATGCACTCAGCTCATAGCTGCTGAAGACACCAGTTTTCCTACTCAGGTTGGCACCGTAACGTGGCGGCCAGAACCATCTTTGGCTCCCTTCCGCCTGAAAATCCCTACGAAGAAGACCTCCAAACCTGAAGACCGCATTTGCATTTCGTGGGTCCGTGGTGCTTGCCTCGAGCTGTCCCTATAATTTGTAAAGACATTCCCGTGAAAGCAAAACGAAGGTCCCAATCCCGAAATCTGAAACCAACACTGACTCCCTCTCGGCCCGAAACCCCCAAGGCCCTACGGCCAAAAACCCAAACTCTAAGCCCTCAACCCGTAAACCCCAGACCCTTAAACTGTACTTGTAGATCAAGAATCCTTAAACGATCCCTCTAAAGGCCCCAAACCCTAAACCCCTAAACCCCTAAACCCTACAGAACACCACGTCCTGGTGGCGTGTATTTGCGTGTAGATTTCTTTTCCACAGCATTTGTTTCAATCGTGTCAGTAGTGTTGAACTACATGTTAAAATC